CCACAAGGCTCTGAGACTAAAAGAAAGTTTCTCGAAAAAGCTTGGATAAATCTAATGTATTGGCAAAATGTAGTCCTTAACATATTGTAACAATTCCCAGGAATCCCAAAGTGCTTGTTGTAGAGCAGTGAATTATGCCTTACAGCATCAGAGCGTGCCAGAACATCACCTACATATCTGATACAAATATACTTAAGTTCTGAACTGGATCCATATTTCAGATGTCTCCAAGTTCAAGGCTGTTCATCACCAGGTCTATATTTCAAGTTGATCTCTTTTCTTTGTAAGGATATACTATTTTCATCATTAATATCCCCTCCTCCTGAAAAGTGTGCATCTTCATAGTGTAACCCAGTGTTTCTGTGGTACATTTTCAGTAGTTGGCTGCATTTTCTAATTACTAGTAAAGGGATTTCTGAGTTACTGCAGGTTTTTTGCTGATGACATTTCACGTTTTCTCACCTCTTTTCCGTGGCAGCTGTGAACCTTTTAATTGTTTCAGTTTTTGCCTGTTCTTGAAGCACAGGCAAAATGACCTCTATGCTGGTGGGTTTATCTTGAATAAAAGTCCTTGTAATTTCTGAACACTTGAGGGAGTTTGGAAACACATCTGTGTTAGACACTACAGGATATTTATTATTAAAGGAATCTCTAGCACACCAATATTGTGACTGATTAAAACAGCATTGTTTGTCTCAGCAAGAATTAGCTTAGATAGCCTTCATTTTTGCCTATAAGTGTAGGTGTCCATTTTTATCTGCCTTTCCTACTTCAATGCACTTGTGCCAAATGCAGTATAATATTTGGGAAAAAAATATGTATATTCTTACCTCTACCTATTGGGAATAAAACAGACATACAGGATCAGACCCTAGGATTGGAACTAGATGATTTTAAGGTCCTTTCCAATCCTAACTATTCTGTGATTCTATGACCGACCTAATAAAAATGGTCAGCAAGAAAATATCAATGAGGTATTCGTGGTGTACCCATGTGTCTGCAGCATTGCTTTCAGCAGTGGCTTGACCTTACTGTTTTGGGGGGTTCTGTCTGGAATAATCT